TTAGCCTAAAAGCATTCCACTAAAACTAATTAAAAGAAATACGATCCAACTTAACATCTGGGGAACAGATCTGGGTTTATGTACAAATTACTCGTTTTGAAATTCGTCATATTGGCAACGTCAAATATCCCACGGATAAAAGAAACTTATTGTTTTCAAAACATTTGAAATATTTAAACATTGAATTTATAATGACACTGTTTAACACGAATTATACCCTGGAAGCAATTACTACTCGGCTCAGTGGTCAAATAAAATGTACGTAGTTCTGTTACTGCAAATTACTACTCGGCTCTGTGGTCAAATAAAATGTACGTAGTTCTTTTACTGCATTACAGTGAGACAAACAATAAACCAAAGAGACAATACCATCAAGAAGGATTTTGTTTGTTTATTGTTAAACAAGAGGTTAAACAATGGGCTATCTGTGCTGTGCCCACCGAGAGTATCGAAACCTAATTTTTAGCGTTATAAACCCTCAGAGTTACCGTTGAACCACCGGGAGGGAGGCACCGAGAAAGAAACCCATTAAATATGTCATAAAAATTGGACAACTTCTGTGCGTTTGTTATAGTGTAACGAGTGGTGTGGTTGAGATAAAGATGGTCATTGTATAGAAGCTGTACATTTTTATGACCCGAAGGAACTATCCAAAAATTCAACATAAAACAAAATACAGTAGCTCTAACTACATTATTTAAGTTTAGAAGGGTATGTTTTTTTCATTGTGGTGATTTCATTAGAATGTAGTGGCCTTTCCTAACGTCATTCTTGAAAAACAGCAAACCAAACACAGTATCACCGAAACAAAATAAAATTGGCCGCCAGATGGCACTGTCATTTAAACGCTCCAAGCGTTAACACTGATAAGCTTATATTGATTTTTTTTTATTATGATGATGATATATACTACATATATAGCTATTTAGATTGAGAATAAATTTTGAGAATTTTTAAATCTTGCCCTTGTATAATGTGGTGTAGTCTCTTAAGAATTACGAATTAATAAAAATAAACTGTAAGTAATTCAAACCAAGTTTATACGACGCTAGAGTTCAATACTTAATCTATTATTCTATATGTTATTTGCAAATACAAAAACAATTCCCACCATGCTCTGAATCTGACAGAGAAACTTAGATCGTGCGTCGCAAAACAACGGCTTCAATAAATTATTCATTAGAGAAAACTCTCATAACGTCGCACTGAATACATCTTAAAGCATTTGAGTAATAAAATATGTATCATAGATAAATAACAACAGTATATATTTCACTGAAAGGAGTCCATGATTTAAAAAACAATGCCTATGTTTCAAGCAGTCGATGTCATTGTCAAATATTGAACAACTGTGTCTTGTGAGTTTGTATTACGAACTGTAGATGAGCAAAGGAAACATAATAAAAACATACCGATACTGAGAAAAAAACACTTTCATACACCATATATTTGAATGTATTAGGTTATCCTTTCTGCCGCTAGGGCTATTTTCTTCCTTTTCGAGATTTTTTTTTTTTTTTTTTTTTTTTTGTTGTTGTTAATTTTTAACGTTTACATCTCTTCCCAAAATACGAAGATCTAAGTTTTATTTGTATGTTAAATTCAATACAGCTGTATAAAGAAATGTTACAAAAGGTAAGATCCTAATAATTGAACGTGTTGTTTGCTATCATTTAACATTGGGCTGACTAGTAAAATATTCCCTAACAAGCCTAGCCCCATTTTTACTTGCTGTTTTTTAACTACCTAAATTTAGGATTAGATTTGTTAAAAACTTTGATTTCACATAAGTTATTATTCCGACGTTGTTGTCCCGATGTTGTTGTCGTTTCGTGAATATTTATATTAAAATGCATTTCACGCAAGTTGTAAACCTGAAGCACACACTGATGAGCGACATGGTATCACGTGAAAAAAAAAAACGGCATTTTGTTTATGAGAGTTGTTGTTGTTTTTGTTATTAAGCATAAAGCTACACAAAGGGCTATCTGTACTTTGCCCACCACGAGTATCGAAACCCGGTTTCCAGCAGAATAAGTCCGCAGACATACCGCTACCACTGGGAGGCATTTTATGGGAGTAAGCACAAATTCACGAAAAAATATCGTATCGGAAACGTTTCGCGGTGGCAAACTTTTACAACTGAAACATTTCTCGCTGTGACAACTCTACTTCTAACCAATCGGGTGAGTGGATCTGCTCAATGACCAGTTACTTGAATAATCGAAAATACCTTTTTAAACTCATCATGGTCACTTGTTAAATTGGGATTTTGAAAAAAGTGGAATTCCCTTTTATAACCCACTTTAACATTCCAATCAAAAGTCCTGGAACGCTAATAACTTGCACCTGCAAGAGGCGGAACTCCGTTCCGGACAGTTCTGCCCCTGTTCATGGTCAAATTTACATTATTGCATCAAGCTCCTTCCTTTTTGTCCAGTTATTCTGGACTTACAATCTACTCTTTTTTTTCTGTCTCAAAACCAGCACCAGGAGGAAATTCTTCTCTTCAACTTCTTCCCGCTCATCGTCATATTATCTGTAATTTTTAACATTCACTATAATTATGACTGTTACATAGCTTTGCTCTTCACTACGACATTGACCTTAAAGTAAGCTTTAATTTTTACAGTGATTTGACTGTATCATATGTTTTAATCTTTGATATGGTATTAACTGTAAGGTAACCTTTAACCCTAATCTCTGACACTAACTGTAAAATAATCTGATCATGACTGCAACGTAAGCTTTACTCTTCACTATGGTTTATAGTAAAGTAAGTTTAACCTTCACTGTGACCTTGACTTTAATGTCAGTTTTAAACGTCACTGTAACATTGACCGTAATGTAATCTATTGAACTATATATTTACCTTAATGTGTAAAATCTTTCAGGCCAAACGTAAGTCACTCTCCAACCCCCTTACATTTTTGTAACATTGACCGTAATGTAATCTATTGAACTATATATTTACCTTCATGTGTAAAATCTTTCAGGCCAAACTTAAGTCACTCTCCAACCCCCTTACATTTTTTTCCCGATAAACTGATTTATCTCATGATTCAATTGCGATTATCGGTCATGATTGAATCGTTGTTATGTACGATGGATGTTATAGAAATTAAACTATCGCTGTCCAGAAGATTTGCCCCCTCCCTCCAGTGGTTCAGCGGCAAGTCTGCGAGCTTACGACACTAACAAAATCAGGTTTCAACACCCCTGGTTGGCAGAGCACGGATAGCTCATTGTGTGGATTTTCCTTAACAACAACCAAAACCAAACAAAAGCTTAACTTTGTAAATTGGAATGTTAAAAAAAAACATTGTAATATGTATTTACAATAAGGAAAGGTGTTAGTTTGTAGACAAACTACTTATATGTTTGTTATTAAGCAAAAAGTTACACAATAGACTGTCTGTGCTCTGCCCTACATGGCTGTGTTGTAAGCCTGCAGACTTACCGCTGAGCACTGGGGGGTGGGGGGTGGAGCATAGTTAAGCCGTGATTACAATGTGTTCAAAATAATAAAAGTAGATACTCTATATTTCCATTCCATGCCTATTCAGAGGTTGAGTATGTTATAACAATTTTAGAGGCATACCACGTCCTTACAGTCCATGTCACCACGTCCAGTCATGCTCTATTTGACGACATTACATCTTGACAATATCCTTATAGCGAAGTGTCCATCGCAAAAAGCTCCATCATAAAGCATTCATGTCCAAAACAATTCCTTCCTCCTTGCTAGATTTCCATAAATCCACCTAGTATACGAGAACGACGATTTCCTAGTGCCAATTTCAACTGTTCACTCGCTCAAAAATCCATAGGTACAGTGTCCGACGTCATGACTTATACGTCTTCATATGAATAGCATGAATACCCATTTCATTCTCCAGCTGCTTGAGTACGCACGAGTTGCGTCACTTTTCCAGACCGAAATTATTCTTCATTATGTAATATGGTGTCTCCAGAGGCACGTAGGCAGCTTTTGCCACTGACCTACGTGTTCATTGATTCTCACCTGTAACAAGAGTTGCATTTTCCTTATCACATCTGAGGTATGACTTGTTGCAGGTCTCTTTCCAGATTGTTCTGGTGCTCCAAGTTGATCCATATTATTTTGTTTTCCCAAGCAACTAAATATAAGGAATTTCTCAGTTTGGAAATTCTAAGTTCCAATCTAACATCTTTAATATTGAAAGTCATGTAGGAATGATTTATGTATAACTGTATCATCCTATATTATTGCTTATATTATTTTTGGCACTGCCATCCCTACATCACCTTACATTTACAAAATGTTTTTTATTACAGATTCTCTATTAAATCTATACCTTTCGCCATTTGGCCTAATCTATTTACAATCCATTTTCATTTAGTAGTTTTATTGATGAGTTTGCAGGAAGTGATTGCATGTGTCCTGGTTGTACAGTTTCAAATTCTGTGGTGGCCACAAGTATATTAAAAATGCTATAATGGATCTCTGGACACCTTGCGAAAGAAGACATCTTTCTGTTAGCCAACTTTTAAATAGTTTCCCTCTGTAAACTAAATATATCTAGAAAACTAAAACCATTTAAAGCAACTTAACTTCAGTTACTGTAAAGAGTAACTCTCATCAGAATCGCCTATTAAGATAAAAAAAAATTAAAATTAACCACAAGTTAAAAACAATCCAATAAACATGAATGTAGATATATGGAAAAGAAAGACGAAACAACTCACTATTGTTTCTCAACTTTAAGAGGAATCTGTTTTTCATTTCATGTATATGAACCAATATGTAAATATGTAATATTACTATATAAATATTACTTCGTATTACAATATAAAATAATTTTACATTTTTGTAAGATCTGGATAAGTATAATTCAGCACAAAGTATAAAAAACTATAAATGTTTTGATATTAATTTTTTTAAATTTAAGCACCTTTCTGTATATATTATATCAAAAATATGTGACATGGATCTAAACAAACGTTCTGAAATTCAAAAACACAATTTCTATGTCTTTATTAGCGAAAAATTACAGCCAACAAAAAACTGAAGTCACTACTGTCAAAAAATAAATATTTTACCAAACAACTATTTTATAACAACGACACATAAGCTGTTTAAATAAAACGATTAAAGAATACTTGCACAGAAATTACATGAAACTACGTAAAAAGTATTTTTTGTCAATGAAACTTAATAACAAATATCAAAGACAGAATAAAGATCACCCAAGTTTCAAAGTTTTCCCTCCAAAAACGTTTTTTTTTAATGGAATATTTATAATGGAACTACCTATAATTGTCGTTTCCAATATTAAAAAAAATTATTACTAGCAACCAAAAATTTACATCATCACATTTAAATTTAAAGAAACAACACAAATTACACTTCACATATTAGTCCTGATGTCACTTTTTTAAAAACTAAGATTATATGATGACTTTAAAACCATGTTTAAACATTCTAATATGTTTAGCAGGGGGAGTTACTTGAAAAACAAGCTACTGGTTTAAAAAATAATAATAATAATCCAATCAAAACATGTAACAATGTATAGTAACATTCCAATGTAGTTCTTATATATTGATTATACTTTTTCTAAATGAAGAGAATAATGAATTTTTTAACCAAGTTTTGTTACAGCATAGCAAATAAAACTCATGCACATTGAAACTTATTATATGGCTCATATTTTTATGTTACAAATCTTTTCAAAGAGAACTTTTAAAAGTTAATGCTTCCTTATTTAAAGCTGACTGGTAAAAATCAAGTCAACCAGAAGACTGGGAACTTAATAAACGTTAAACTAGAATAATGGTACGTGTCCCAACTTACCCTTAAACAGGGAATGCCTACTTTCTGAAAGCTATCAGGTTATTGGGTTTCTTGTTTTATAGTTTAGCACTAGATGCACGTAAATGATCCGACAACTATTAAGCACTGGAAAAAAGCCTTAAACAATAACTACGCACACAAATATCTCATAGCTATCAAAACAATATTTTACATAATTCACAATGTAAAATAAAACATTGATTTTCTTTTACATGGTAAAAACGTATAAAGGAATCATTCCAAATACCACAGCTCAAAATCCTGTACACTAATCACTTTGATTCTCGGCTATTTCGTTGAAAACTCAAAACCATTTTCAACTAACATTTTTTTTTTTACTCAAATACCTTTTAATTTCAAAAATCTGCAGCTGCATGTAACAAAAAGTTTCAAATCAGTTTTAAATTTTATATGATTTAATTTGACATCACCATTTTTTCTCACCAGCTGCATCAAATTTTGTTTCTATAATAATGAACATGATTAACATATAAAGACAATTACTTTAGATATGAACCATTTCTTCCTTCCCTTAGAAACACCACTGCAGATTTCATTCCCTCCACATTAATGCTGTATGCAGTTCTGAATAGATTCATTGTATCTAACTGACAGTCACAATTACTAGTTAATCATACAATCCATTTTCACAAGACCAAAAGATTTCAAGAACTTCCTGGGAGAAGATGTCTAAAGTTCATTATTTCTGATGGTGTAAGAGGACGAGCATCTTGGTTAACGCGCATCACTGGTATGTTGCCAGGCAACCGTCTCCTTGGAGCTATTACAGCACGCTCTTTACCTGTCATTCCTTCTGGAGCAGGACAGCTATTATTCAGAGGCAAGTCACCATGATGAGCAAGATTTGGTGTTAGCTTTTGGTTGGTGCTTGAAACCCAACCTACAGAACTTTCATCTTTTTCTACGCCCTTCTTTTCTTCTTCATCAGGAACTACCTGGTAATCATTTTCATGATTGGCCACACTAATTTTTGCCCACCTGCAGAAGATAGGTAATAAATTTGTACAATATTCAACTACTTAATGGTGTACTTTGACATATAAAATATGATATGCTTCATTAAAATAGATTTAGTACAAATTTTTTTATCATTATCTTGTTTATCACAATCATATCATCCATGCTAAAAAACCTATTTATTAAATGTAAAATACTATAATTGGAGACCCTTTTGTGTTTTTAAAATAGCTAAAGAAACTATTTTCTTCCCTCAAAACAACATGTTATGAAGTAAACAAACACTATATGTAAAACACATTGCTAATTCAACTTTAGAACAAAAACCAAGCTATTGCTTTAGTATAAGTTCTAATTTATCGCTAACATACTTCTTTCATTTATCTATTTTATATTAAAGAACCACTTAACGATCTCTTCTAAATAACCAATCAGAATTGGTTTTAACAATAAATGAAAACAAATAAAATACTTTCTGATACCACTGCAATATAATGTTCCCTTCTTTCCTATTGAAAAACAAAAGTAGTCTAGCTGGTAATTAGCTCTAAATAACTACTCCAATACAAATGTATAGAATTCATTCTATACATATAAATATTTTAAAAACAAGATCATCAGAGTCAAACTAAAGATAAAGGAAAACACCACAAATCATCTATTTTCTAAGCCCCATATTTTCAAAACTGTGAACTGCATTCATACTAATAAGTTTTAATTATCCTTTTTTGACACTAGAGGGTGGAACTAACTAAACATCTGAAAGTAAAGGATCTATTTGTCTCTGGTTAACTTACAACTCAGAAATGTTGCTCATAGTATATCACCATCATAATATGTTACTAGTTATCCCTGGAAACTTTTAGATTTAACATAAAAAAATTACATCTCTATTAATCTGTATTTAACACCTAGAGGCCAGACATCATATACAATTTATAACAAAAAATATTTAAAGATTTTCGCACGGTTGCACTAGCTGTTGGAAAGATTACTTTTATATTGAAATTCCTTAACTTAAGAAAACAATTTTTTACATATATGATTAGTGGTTGAATGAAAATGTTCTTTAAAATATAAGCAACTACAATTAATTTTTTTGTAAATGTAACCATGTTTTTGTATATCACTTTGTTTACAGTTTATATCATGAATTATGATATCTACTGGTGTTTCATTCTTACAGTATCATTCATCAAGATTTATTAACAGAGAACAATAACATATAATTATGTTTTTCTTAAAGAAAATGTTATGACATGTAATTATTTATGGAATGGTCTAGTTTTTAATATCACTTCTATTGAGAAGATTCTGATATTTCAAGATAAGCTGAATAACTATTTTGATAACTTATTGAAATATGAGTACTTTAAATGTCAACTGAACAGTTTTTCTGCCTTTTAACCCTCTGTATACAGGCTTGGTCATTTTGACTAACCTGGCAACTACCAGTAACCATGAAACTATAACTTTTAACGTAGTAAGTGTATCTTCATGAAATCTGGCAAGCTTTTAGTAAATATTATGTCTTTTGTATACAAAAATCAGAATTTTTAATAAAGTATTTGTACTAAAGATAAGTTCGTGAATTAATGTAACTCAAAATCTGACTAATCTGAGTGCAAGGTGATTTTCTCACACTTCTTTTCATTTTGCAGTTTTCAACTTTATTTGCATAACCCCTAGAGCCTCCTACATGGATATCAAGTTGTTATTCACTAAAATGTTACATTTCATCTGTTATCTTCTCTTATAGACTTAAGTCTATTTGACCGACCTTGTAACCACCACAAAAAATATGAAATAAATCTAAAATACCCTTTTTAATTTGTATAATGACTGCAGATAGTAACAGAAAATTACAATTATTTATCATGAATAGCCTTAGACTCATAACAGTTTACACTTATTTTTATTTAATGTTATTGTTTTATTGCTCTTTGAGCCATGTATAGCTACTGAACCAGTGTAACAAGACGTAAATTACCCGGCAAATAAACAGCCCAAGTTAGTTATGGTATTGACTTACATAATATAGAAGCTTTTCACAAGCATGTATCACTGAGAAATTTCTATCTTTTAGTCACTTCAATAATAATAAATAAAAACTATAAATGAAAAACAAGAAATTCAATACTTACACCTGGCCTCTTATTTGTTTCCTCTTGGCCCAATGAAACTTAATTTATTGTAACAATGGCAGTAGTAAATGAAAAAATTGTTATTTATTTATTTCAAATATGCATTCAAGAACACAAAATAACAACCTGCACAAAGCTTTCAATATCCTATAACTATTATAGTTTAATTGGCTTTGTAACTAAGCTACACGTGCCTTAAAATATTTCCTTTAGCTGGTTGAGCTGAACTTGGCAATAGCAACTTCGAACCCGTGTACCAAATAATTCAAAAGTTGTTGTGAGAATGAGCTAACATTAATACTGTAACAATTTCTATTGGTTATAAATAATGTAATAGTAAATGTGAGAGAGAATTAACCAAATTGTTTTGAAAGACATGATAGGAAGGCATGCCATACGGGTTAGATTTTCTGGTTTATATCAATGTAAAACAAGATGATTGGAGGCTATACTATAAATCTGTAATTTTCATGAAAACTTACAAGTTCCAGTAGAGGTGAAAAGAGAAACTAAACTGAGTAATTCAGAGTGAAGAACTGTCACATTATGCAGAAAGGTGAAGATCGACAACATATTTTCTATTGAAAATTAAGAAATTAAAACTTACATAATGTTAAAATTTGAATTATGAGCTAATGTAGTTTCATGCCTACGGTACTGTTCATCAAGATTTTTAAAAAGAGAACAATAAAATTAGCTAAGAATATAATTATGTACTAATTTACTGAAGAGTCAAGCCTTCAATATCAATTCTGTTGAGGACCTTCAGGTACTTTTAGAGAAGATGCGTGGCTATTTTGATAACTTACTGAAACAAAAGTGCTTTAAATTTACCTTTGTGGAGTCTTTCTACCTTTTAATCCAACATGTTCGATTTTGGTCAAAGTCTATTGGACTCGCATAGGCTACAACAATCCAAAGTTTAGCTTGGTGCCCTAAATCCCTTACTCAATTTCTTAATTTAAAAGTAAATATTAAAAAAACAGTTAAACATCGATTTTTGTGTGTTACTTGGTATGTTTAATGCAGCACTGGTTCAAATGAGATGTTTGTGATATCAAAATACTAAGTCTATAGTTTCATATGAATTAGGAACTCAAATTACTCATATTAGCAGGCTAGAATATAAAATAAGAGCCTCTTATCTTTTCAATTTGCTAACATATTGCTCATATAATAAATCAAACACAATGGCATCCCACCCACCTCTTTCAATTTTTGGAAATGCTCCATTATATACACTTAATTCTATATATGACATAAATAACCAATCGAAAGCTCAAAATGTCCCCCTAGTGGCTTTCTCAGCCATTTTAACATGTTTTGTCACCACTTCTTTCTTTCAAACCAAGATTTTAAAGAGGTTGGTTGTGTCTTTAGTCTGCTCAAAATTTACTTTTTAGAGTAAAATACATCTTATTTACTAAGCTTGATATATTATAGTTAAATTCTATGATACTGATGTAGTAATTTATGATTTTTTTAGCTATTCAAATGTATATATAAAACCTAAAAACAATATTTGTTTCATATCCTCCATGTGCAAAATTTTAAAAGGCTTAGCAACCTACGTCAAGCAGCGACAGAATACAAAGGTCCTAACTGGAAGATATAATTGTTTACTTTACTTCTTTATTTACTGTTCTACGTTTTAAGAAAAATATGTTTAAGAACTTATTTTTAAATAGCAATAATCTATATACATATACAATGTATAATAATTGAAATGTGACTGTATTTTACAAAATACTAGTCTATTAAAACACAATCAAGACACGTCACTTTGTAAAGACTAAAAGTCAGTTTTATATTATTAAAGATGCACCGTGTCACTGTAACTTCTGTATTGTTAGCCAGACATGGCTGAAAGGTCAATATAATAAAAATAATAAATATATATAAATGTATAATGTTACGAGATTTAAGCTATTAAGACTACACACTTATGTTTTCGTGTTATAATCTGTAGTCATTCTAGAATGA